CACACGCACAGGCACACACGCACTCGTGCACAGGCACAGGAACACAGGCACACGCACACAGGCACACACATACACAGATACACACGCAGAAGCACATGCACAGGCACACACGCACTCGTGCACAGGCACAGGAACACAGGCACACGCACACAGGCACACACGCACTCGTGCACAGGCACAGGAACACAGGCACACGCACACAGGCATACCTGTACACAGGTACACGTGCACATGCACACAGGCAGGACAAACATAGAGGAGGTGGGTTCAAGTCCCAGGAATGCTTAAGCAACTTGAGTTTATAAAAGGTCCCATGTTTCAGAGTATTAGCTACATGTTGTTTCTGATGTTTTTCTGTCCTCCGCACTGGATCATCTCCTAGTAGCAACAGTGTGCATGACAGTTGAAATCAGAGCCGGTTAATCATTCTAAGATCAGAACACCTTCTCACCTTTGGCTGAAGAAGCACGTCTTTAGCCTTTCAGCCTTTGACATCTGACCTCTCTCTTCCTCAGGAGAATGATTACTTACAGGAGTGCCTTGAGGTTGTGCAGCAAGAGTTTGTCATCTTCAACCGAGAGAAGTGAGAGAAGAGCCCAGTCACTACCGACCGTCATGTGACCATTAACTCCACCCCTTTATATTTCTTAGCTTTCAATCCATCCATCCATCCATCCATCCATCTATCCATCTATCCATCTTTCAAGTGCTTGTGTTAGTTATTGTTGCTGAACTTCCAAACATAGCACCCCCATCCACGGAATCCATCAGTGCTCATTCATTCCCACCCTATTAAGTGATGCTGAATTTGTATGATGTCAGATGGACCTTGAATCCCTGCCTTGTCTGCATGTATGCGCCCGATTTTAGGCATGTGTATGAATGTGTGTTTAAACCATGCGTTTCAGACTGAAAAAGAGGCAGGAGGAAGGCTCCCACTTGGACACACCCACCGAAGCCGAGGGCGACGAAGGAGGCTCTGAGGACGAGGCAGCCCAGGGGGCAGAGTCCTCTGACCCCAACACCTGCGACTCCATGGGCTCCTCCGCAAGCAGCTGCTGACGCTGCTGACGCTGCTAACTGTGCTAGCATGGCTAATGACGCTAACTGTACTAGTGTGGCTAATGCTAACGACTCTGCTAGCACCTCCCAGCTGCAGATGCTGTCGTGCCATGGCTCCCACCCTCCGCTTGCTGCCAGGACTGGAACCTTTCAGAGCAGCAAGCTTCATCCACTTCAACCACCCCAACTAGAAGCATGCAGGACTGGTGGCCTGAAGGAGCCTCTCACTCAGTTAGCACGACTAGTGCAGTTGGCAAAGCCAGTGCGGTTAGCATCACCAGTGCGGTTAGCATCACCAGTGCGGTTAGCATCACCAGTGCAGTTAGCGTCGCCAGTGCAGTTAGTGTCACTACGACAGACTGTTCCAGGACAAGCCTACAAGCACAACGCCTGTGTCAAGGACAACATCCTCAGCCTCTGTGGGCCCACCTGTGTGTTGCTTTCTCCCTAGCCAGCGACCTAAATGCTAATGCAGGTTCTGGCAAAGGAGGTGAGGGCAGGTGATTGTCAAAGTACGAGGGCTGCCCTTGTCTTCCTGAAGGAACCTAACACAAGTTAAATCCATAGGTTTGCTCCTCATCCCCAAGGTCCATAGTTTTGCCCAGATCCTTTTAGCTGCTAAGTTGTGGTGTCCCCGTGTAGGAACATGGTCACCCCCCATCGCTGGTGTTTTATTTCACACCAGCAAATGACCCTTCCCAGTACGGACGGGGTGTCGGCCCCGCTGACTCCGGACGGGGCCATTTATAGTAGCATAGGCCTGTTTAAATAGCATTAGCGGAACGTTAGCACGGCATAGCGCCTGCTTGCGGACGCCTGCGCGCCGCTCTTCCTCCACTTAGCGCCTGGTTAGCGTGACGTGTGAATATGGCTGTCGGCACAGGCCCTGCTCCACAGTTTTATGTGGGCCATTAGCCGAGCGCCTTTGCCAGGCGAGCGACATTCACACCCTGCTGTACAAACGCGCGTGGGCGCCTCCCGCAGGCCACGCCACCCCTGCTTTTTCAAACCCCTGGCGATGCCTTTTCCGATGGGAGCCGCGCTCTCTCCCGTAGCATGCGGCGCGGAAGCGTCTGTCCTGCAGCAAGTGCTTTTTTGCATCCCGTTATCCTGCGTTCATTCACCGTATTTATTGACTAAGGCCATAGGAATGTTGCCGCTGCTGGCGGTATCTGACCGCGTCGGCGACGTCTCAAGGTTTTACACTGGCAGCGTTAAATAAGTCACCTGCACGCACCATAGCCTGCTCAAATGCATGCAGTACCGTATATAAGCACAAGGGGGCCTTATTATACAATCTTTGACTTTGCCCCTTGTGTGGATTACATTAGGTGGGGTGCAAACCCAGCCCTTGTCTGCCCCCCCAAGCCTGCCCACACTTTTGTTCTGCACATCTAATTCTGTTAGACAGGTAATTATCAGCCTCTGGATCAGGTGTGCGGGCTGGTTTGCGTGAGCTTGGCGGCTGGGACTTGGGCTGTCTGCCACCCACTGTTATCTTTGATTAAAGTCTTTGGCACTCGTGCTGAGTACCTGTCGTAAGAGAGTAAGGCTTCTTTTTCAGCTTTTGCATTGTACTGTTGCCTGCATGAGGCATACTTTCAAAGGGGCTACGTACGGAACAGAAGTGTAGGACTGGATTCGTCACGCTGCTGCCTCGCTGGGATGCAGTGGGCAGGAGTTTCTGGGACGCCTCCATAGGTATCAGAATGCTCATACACGTCCTGTGTCCATGCACCAGCATTTTTTTAAAGAAGGACATCCAGACCAGCAGGTGGCGGTGGCGACTTTAGTGTGGCTATAATCTGAAGTGGTTCTCGGGATCACGTCTTCATTTGGCCAATCACAGTGGGCATGCGGCCATTCAGTTCACCGTGCCTGTTCTCGAGGGCCCTGTCTGTACATATGTTCTGCTTTTACTGCTCGGATAAGGGAATAAAGTGCTTTCCTTCATGTTGGCTGTGTCTGTTTTTTTAAATAACCCCTTTCCTGTACAATCTGACAGGACTAAGAGATGGGAGTGGGAAGGCCTTCCTACGGTTTGTATAAATGTGACACCAACCTCACACGCAGAGTGCCATCCCTGCCACACCTACCGCTGCTGTGACTTTCTCCTTTTCCTGAAGGTCTAAGATGAACCATGAGTCGCCAAATCATCGCAGCACATTCAGTGTAGAAAATTCCAATTTCCCCAGACAGGATTGATCGGATCTTCATGGCACTATGTTCAGTGGAGCTGTCAGCGTGAAGGAGAGATACTGATGAAGCGAATGATCCAGACGCTCACCTCTGAATGTCAAACTGACCACATGGCATGCGTGGGTGATGGCAGAAGAATATGACGAATCCATCCATCCATCTGCTGTCTGCTTATGCTGGTCAGAGTAGCAAGGCGGCTGGGGGTCCCTCCCTGGCACCAGAGGGCCCCAGGGGGGTCACCCTGGACATGATGTCATTGTTCGAACCGCTCATCACAGGCATCGTTCAATAAGGAGGTAAAGCACTCTTGCTGAAGGATTATATCTTGTAGCATATAGACTAAAACAAAATTCCAGTAAGAGAGACAGTACTAGTGCCACGGCTGGAAGTTCAATGTAACGAAATAGTGTGTGTGACTGTCATGCGGGATGGGTGGTGTAGCTGTGACGTCCCGCTGGAAAAGTGTGTTTTTCAGGCAGAAATGGACAAATTCAGCTCCCCTACAACGTGGAAAATTACCAGCAGATTATCCAGCAAGACTCCCGGCCGCAATAGCTGTGAAATAGTTGACATTTCAGCTTTTTGTTACACTTTATAATTTTGTCGTTTTGAGCAGCACTGTGAAAAGACGTTCTATTTACGAGTAAAAATTTCTGATAACCATTGTGGAAAAAAGGTTGGGCGCTGTGTAATTTGGAGAGAAAGAGAAAGAGAAAACAGCAAACTCATTAAATCATTCGGGACCTCAGACCAGCGGCTAGGTGAACTCAACCCAGCAAGGCCCAAGAGGAATATGTGCATTTCTCTATGGAGTGTGAGTAAAAGTGAATCATGCTTTATTTTCATATTTCTTTAGCATTTATTTAGTAAAAAAAACACAAAACAGAAACATTGTATCCGACTTGGTGCCAGTGTTCGCAGTACTGGCTGCCCTTTCGTAATCCACTGCACAAATGTCAGATATTACGTAAGTTAGATTCTCCCTCATACCATTCAAGACACCTCAGAGCAAAAACCATATAAATCAAAAATGTACTAGTAATATGTATTAAAGAAAAGATAAAGTGTATGTTACGTTACGTTAACTTACAGGCATATGTTGCCTTTTTGCGTTAGTGCTTCTGTAAACTCTGCGCGTTTTGGATTTTTTTTGCGTGAGTCCAGGTATATTAATGTCGGCTTGACATATGTTGAGCTGCCTGCACACTCCTTACTATTGCAGAGCAGTGTATGCAGACACCCCGAAGGCAGGAATATCCCGCTGTATCTAACTGATAACACGGCCGACAGCCACCCTCCACTCCCACTCTGCTCGTCAGACGCTGCTGCTCGTGTCTCGCCCATCCAGAATGTCGATCGTAGGGTCTCCAGCATCGAAAACGAGCTTCCACTCCGGGGCCTCGATGACCCCCAGCAGGTCCTGCATATCCGCTTCCAGCTGTCTCACGGTATCTTCAACGCGCTGCCAGAGATTAGGAGACCACTCCACACATTAGACCCTGTAGATAGTCAGTTTGCATTTCATGCTTCAACTTCATCTTGAGATTAACGAGTGAGTCACTGGACTATTTGTGAAGGCGGGAAAATGGGAGCATGCTCAGGGTCACTGCTGTGTTGATGCTGACGACGGTTACTCTGCAGCTTCATGGAGGCAAAGGTGAGAAGATCAGGCTTTATTAATCCCTTAAGGGCAGCTTTCTGTGTCCAGGAACATTACAGAAATAAATGCCACCCAGCCTAATACCGCCCCAAGAAATAAAAAAAATAATAAACAAACAAGTTAGAAGAACATGTAGACTACACTGCAGGCACCAAAAGTGAGGTAGGAACATGGAATAATCTAGTGCAAGTGGAAGTAGAAGGAGAGTTGTCATGGCGAGAGGGCAGTGAAACTCTAGCAGAGGAAACTCTAGCAGGTGATAACGAGAGCGGACATCTGGAACTGACCCTTACCTTCTCCACGTCACCCAGCCTGCTGTGGAGCGCTGCATGGTTCTTGCAGGCGGTAATCGGGACAGCCTGGGGTCCTGCAGGGCAGCAGACAGACTGTAGCTGCGACACAGCTTAGGCTGCAGGCTGAGGTCCTGCACATTTATTTTCTTGGTCTCAATGCCAATGGTTCTGATACAGACTTACACACAAGACTCTGGAGTGGCCTCTGGGACAGGGATACACACACACAAACACACACACATAGACAGATATAGACACGCACACACACACAGACACACACACAGACATAGACAGACATAGAAACGCACACACATACACGCACACACACACACACACATAGACAGACATAGACACACACACAGACACACACACACACCGTGTTTGTAATTTTTCCCCCAAATATTGTCATTTTTAAAAAGACCAAAAATGAACACTGTAAGTGGACTACTTAATTACTATAAGCAAACTATTTAAACAGTATTTGTACAGGAATGATTCTGTCCCAAGATTTTTGATCCATATCAGCGACTGATCACTGTAACCATGATCACTAAAAGCGGTTTCCACTGTATTTGTGTTTATGGGATGTATTGTGCACATTTTCACCAGCACACCACTGGCCTCTCATCAGCCAGTCCCGGTGGGTATTGCAGGCGAGCTCGTGCCGACGTCAGCCCCAGCTAAGGGGTCTCACTCTTAGGAGGTGGGTCTTTTCCAAACAAAAATTTGCTCTCAGCCATTTTGTGAATAAGTTTGAGGACAAAAAAATTCTTTAGTTAGTTCTTTAGTTTAGTTTCTTTAGTTCTTTCTTTAATTTAGCTTTTAGTTAAAAACTTTTAGTGCAATTTAGGACTACTCTTAGTGTTAAGATAAAATACTTTGTGAATACAGGCCCTGTTATTTTGATGTTTTGGGGACCATTTTTCAGGTTCCCACAAAGATCTTGAATGCAATTGTGTGTGTGTAGTGCGTGTGTGTAATGTGTGTGTGTGATGTGTGTGTAGTGTGTGTGTAATGTATATATGTGTGTGTGTAATGTGTGTGTGTGTGTGTGTATTGTGTGTGTAATGTGTGTGTGTGTGTAATCTGTGTGTAGTGCGTGTGTGTAATGTTTGTGTAGTGCGTGTGTGTGTGTGCATGTGCGTGTGCTGCAGCCTGTCTGTAACAGCTGTTTCCAATACAGCTGTAGAGTGTAATGCTCCATTGTGTAATTTGCGTGGGGCAGCACAGCTGGGGGGGGGGGGGGGTAGTGCCCCACAGCATGATGGGACATGAAGGGGTGGGGGCTGTGCTCAGCTAAGCCCACCACACCCCGTCAGCCTGCAAAGGGGGCCCCACTGCCTTTCCATGCTCGCTTGGCACCGCCAGCTGCACTGCTGGCGTGGAGACACGCAGGCTGCGGCGTGCAGGGCTGCAGGGCTGCGGGGCTACAGGGGGTACAGGGCGCAGCACTGCGGGGGCTGCGGGGGTGTAGGGTTACCATCCCTCTGGGGTCGTGTCGGTATGTTAGAATGAGAGAAAAAGCCGTGGCGTCATGGTGGCTCACTGCGAGCGCGGTATACCACTGCATTTCTGCTGCGTGGCTGTCTAAGGGCAGAGATAGAAGAGAAGAGTATTTATGTAGACTGTCAGCAAGGCCGTGGAGTATAGAGAGAGTAAGGTATAGTAAGAGTATAGGGAAGAGATTAAGGCAGAGTGAGAGTATTTGTGTAGACTATCAGCAAGGCTGTGGAGTATAGAGCGAGTAAGGTATAGTAAGGGAATGGGGAAGCATCTAAGGCAGAGTGAGAGTATTTGTGTAGACTGTCAGCAAGGCTGTGGAGTACAGAGCGAGAAAGGTATAGTAAGGGAATGGGGAAGCATCTAAGGCAGAGTGAGAGTATTTGTGTAGACTGTCAGCAAGGCTATGGAGTATAGAGCGAGTAAGGTATAGTAAGGAAATGGGGAAGCATTTAAGCTAGAGTGAGAGTATTTGTGTAGACTGTCAGCAAGGCTGTGGAGTACAGAGCGAGTAAGGTATAGTAAGGAAATGGGGAAGCATTTAAGCCAGAGTGAGAGTATTACAATGAGCTCCTGGGCTGCTGAAGCAGACATGCTATTTACCTGCAGAAGCTACACAGGGATGTGATGTATGGGAATTCTCACCAAACTCTGCTAATAACAAGGTCAAGCCCGATGAGCTCAGATCTTCAGGACAGAGACCTGAACAAAGTCCTCTAGCTGTTCCTCACCCATCCATATTTAGGAGCCATACACTAGTCCAGCAAATGCACCAACACACGAACAGGCGTCAGGACTCAGCCCCACCCCAGGAAAAACTGAGCAGTTAGTTAAATCAGCGACACCTGGGTGTTCATGCTGATGTCAGTCCAGGGCGCCCAGATCCCAGAATCTGGGACAAGACCAGATCGGACCTACAGAAGTAATGAGAGAATGCCTCACCGGACTGGCTGCTTCTGCTGTCCTGTCATGTGGTGAGGATGAGTGTCCACCCCAGCAAAACTCAGATTATATTAATGACATAAAGAAAAATAAGACAACACCACCTGGTGGAGATGTCTCTGCTAATGCCCAAGGATTACCCTTCTTATGAGGATGTTGCTATGGGCTTCAGAAAGCATGTACACGCAGATTCGAACCGGCGCGCGTGCAACTGTGGGCTCACGGTCTCATGCACAGACCCACCTTTCTGCGACCATATCCCAGACCCCCCCCACCCCATCTGCAGGTTAGCTTAGCTTAGTTTTCCACAGCTTCCAAGCCCCCGATCCTGAAGCCCCGCCCACTCTGCCCTTACCTGTGTTGGCCTGGCCGAGGAGGACGAGCGAGAGCGTAAGCAGTAGCGTGAGCGAAGCGGCTGATTGGCCCATGTCTGCAGCAACCCGGGCAACGCCGTTGCTGTCCAGGTCGGCAATAACTGTGGAGGGGAAGAGGGAAGAGAGGGAAAGAGAGAAAGAGAGAGGGAGGGAAAACACACTGAGATCAGAAGCGGAGGAAATAGTTAAGAGCTGACTCAAGTCGTGCGCAGTCCGCTTTCCCCCTCTCTCCCCCTCCCAGTCTGACACGGCTCTTAATGAAACCAGCAAACTGAGAACAAAGGGACCCTCTCTGTCAGACAGAGAGCCAGCGTGGGGGGGGGGGGGCACTTCTTCTCCGCCGTGGCTTTGAAGGTGAACAGGGGAGGCATATCACAGTTATATCTCAATGTATGTATTTGTAGGTCATTCGTATGAATGATTGCCGTGTTCAGGATTCTGACAGAATGACTCTGTCTGTACATTTCAGCCCCTAATTTTACAGTATGCTCACACTCTCACACACTCTCTCACACACGCTCTCACGCAAACACACACACAAACTCACATGCTGTCACACACACAGAGACACACACACTGTCACGTACGCTCACATGGTCTCACATAAACTCACACACACACTGGCTCTGCGAGTGCTCCTCTGTGACCGACAGCGGAGGGTCTGTGAGTGCTCCTCTGTGACCGACAGCGGCAGCTCTGTGAGTGCTCCTCTGTGACCGACAGCGGAGGGTCTGTGAGTGCTCCTCTGTGACCGAAAGCGGCAGCTCTGTGAGTGCTCCTCTGTGACCGACAGCGGCGGCTCTGTGAGTGCTCCTCTGTGACCGACAGCGGCGGCTCTGTGAGTGCTCCTCTGTGACCGACAGCGGAGGCTCTGTGCGGGCTCCTCGTGG